GTTATAAATAAATAAATTAATATATTTGTAATAACCCGATGAGTAGCAAAATTAAATTTTATGACGTTTACGTGACTCAGTATAAGTCACTTCTTCAGAGAATAGTATGGGACTCCTCAGCAGTGCGCATTCACAGACCCACCTCACGAGATTCGAACCCAGGACCTAACGTCGGAAAATTTAATTATTCTACTCATTGGGTTATTACAAATATATTGATTTATTTCTAACAATGGAAAATGATTTATTTCAATATTGGTTGGGTTTATCCGCTAGGAACATTTAACAAATGTTTACTCATTTAGACAAGTATGACATGAATGTGACGTTTTTTTTGTTTTTAAGAAATTAATGCTTACCATTTCGTTCTTATTATACTGTAATCGTGACAAAAATAATGAATTAGCTGTGTACCTTTGAATTATAGAAAATCAATTAAACTTAACATATAAGAAATAAATTTATATTTTATTATGGTCGTTTATAAATTTGTATTTTCACCACAGATCAGTTGCTTGTTATATGAAAAGTAACTCATTGTCACATTATCTTGGTTAAATATTTTGTATATATAACGAACAGTTTTACTTCTATAGTTGAATATAAATCGTATCTTCTAAAATCTATTTATTTGGTGTATGGAAGTCAGTTACATGAGTGAATTGTTGATTTGATCATCTCATTGTTAACCTAGAAATCTCAATGAAAATCAAGCATAACAACAATCATACCTCACAAATAGACGTTTAACTCGGATGACTGGCCAAAGTAAATTACCAACGAAATCACACTATTTATTTGAGTCACACGAATATTCAGGTGGTCTTGAGGATTCTCAGAGTTATGTAGGTAGTTATAACTTTTCCCATTCCCTACACTATGGAATGGTACTTCTTGAAAGAAGTGAAAAGGAAACTGGATTAAGAATGGTCCTAACTACCTGAGAGAGTGACCACAGAGCTCAAAGACATGCTGATCATACATGTATTTTTTGAGTAGTTTTTCAGACATTACCACCGGGGTGAAAACTTGTGGGGCAAGTTGAGGTGTGCTAGTTTTAGGATAGAATATTCTCAGCCCTCTCGTCCGTTGTAAGAAGTCAGCATCACTGCAGATATTGGTTTCCTGAGTGATAGACGTTACTGTAGTCATATCCCTAAGTAGTCGTCAGTACAATTTCACATTTGGACTTTAATTTTATTGCTTTTAATCTTACTGCTATGTAATCGTATAGGATTTAATTTGTCCTACAGATATTCTATCGCAACTGTAAACGCGATACTGACGATTCAGAGTCTATGTGAAAGCTATAGTCAGAAAAAGGGCGAATTGGCTTTAAACTTTATTTGGTTCGACCAGTATTGCGTGTGTTATGGAAATGAATAAAGAAAAAAAAGAGATGCAGTCACACTAATATGATAAAATAATAATGTCCTTCAATTGGCAGGTTACATGCAACAGGGATAGTCTACAGAAACATCAGGCCAGATTGACGTAATAGGCATTCAAGCAGCAATTTGATTGGTTAGTTATGGACATAACTATGATCTAATATAGTAGGATTATTATTTATTTAAACACATAAATATTGGTACGGAGGGGCACCGAATACATATGCGCCATACAAGTCACTTGATTTGTGTGTGGACCATGATACTGCCTGGGTGCCCAAACCGAAGCCGATGGTTTGCCATACAGGGAGCCTTCGACCTAAATGTCTGATCCACAAGGCAGTGGAGCAACGTCAGGAAATGCAGTCCAATACTAGCCGGTGATCAATAATTGGTTCATACGCCATTTGGTCCCTCAGGATACTGGAGCTCATGTGCACCATTGGCTTGGAATGAGGGTTTCCCAACTCATCTAGGTGGACCCTCTATATCCACCAACCCGGTTAAAGCGTCGAACATTAACTTTTCGTCTTCTCAATTTTGTGAACAACACCCAGTCAAAAGAAAACAATGAGTAGGACTTCCCCGGCAATGGGAATGAATATGAATTAATTTTGATTGTTTTTCATTACATAGATATTATTCTTTATAAAAGAATTTTCATTTGTTTTGTTTTTCATCTCTGTTTTAGATCAGTTCAATTCAGAGAAACGTTTTTATAAAATAATGTCTATTAAACATAATTTAGATAGAATGAATAATGAACATCAAGAAATATTAAAACTACTTAAATATAAAAATAATTATTTACCATTTTCTGATTTATATATTCAATTATTTCAATTAAATGAATTACAACATTTGAATCAAAGATCATTACCAATAGTTACATCATAATATTAAAAGAAAAAAAAAAGGAACTTAACATTGAATATAAATCCATGATAAAACATTGAATCATCAATATTATAGTGTGCAATTAAAATCTCAGGTTTATAAAATAAGTAATATATACTTTATAAATATATATATTTATTATTGTTTCTTTTTTTTCTGTGCTATAAGAGAACAAAAATGTGAAAACCCGGTGTGGTATATAATTTAGATGTAAGAAAAAAATGGCAGCTTTTATATTTATTCAAATAAACAGTTAAGTGAATATTTTATTTTGATGAAGTAAAATAGTGTTTCAACTTCATTTTCCCACTTTTTTTTTCTTTTTCTATGGTGAGTCATGTAAGTGTATTTCATGAGGATCCACATACAAATGGATATAGTTAATTATATTACCATACAGATGTATGTTATTTGAAGTATATCCTGTTGTTATTACTTTATGTGCATCATTTAATCTATACCTACTGGGTTTATACTATTATTATTATTATCATTATTCAATATATACATATATATTGAACTTTCTTTTGTTTGGTTTAGCCAATTTTCTCTTCCATCCTGTTGTTTAAAATTAACTCATAATCTGCTACTTTAATCAAATAATCTTTATCAGGGAATTTTATTGAAACAAAAATAAATATTTCGATTATTGTTTTATATTGTGTTAACTTATTTATTTGGATAGAAATATACAGGGGTTGGATCATAAGTTAAATAATGAATTCTTTATAGGAGTAAATATTTGGAAACTGCAATGATTTATGGAGGGTGATCTTAATTGTCAGTTAACATTAGCAGAACCATCGAGTATTTAATGACTCTTTTAGTTCTGGTTTTGGAACCACTACACAGCAATATATATCAATCTGATAGAACCCATAACCTTCAGGTTTTCTGAGGAGCGCTATACACGTATGGTGAAGTCAGAATTCAATAATCCACATTCTGAACTTCAGTCAATTTACGATTCTAACTCAATGTCACTAGTTACTTATTTGATTGGCATTTTATTTGTTTGACACTACAGCTTGTTTTTTTACTTTAACTTCAGGAGATCCATTTTGAAGCTGGTCAACAGTCATAGCACGATTATCTATTTGAGCAACTTTATAGAGGCCTTCCAAACTATATACTCAATAATTCATCAAGTGATGTATTGCTGAAGTTACACAATACGTCTTTGAGTTATCGATTGTCTGTACACTTATCCAAGGAGCCCAGTAGGATTCGTGACTTTGCAAGTCCCAGAAACACTAGTTTTAGAGTAACCAGCATTTTTACTAAAATTATTGTTAAGCAGTATGATTTCGACGAACTGAGGAGAGCTGATAAAACATCATTAGACACGTTGTGCTCATATACATGTTGGATGCACATTTCACGTAGTGAACAGCTAATATATACTTTTCACGAAGCGGATGATTTTACCATGTTTAAGGAAGAAAGTGAACAGGTGAGATTATTTCTCTCGAGTTAACAATATGAGACTGAAAGTTGTCAAATTTAACTATACACAGAGAAGGAATTTCTTCCGGCATATTGTATTTATACTACAGGAAGCCCTAACCACATAATCGGTTGATAGACAAAGTGCCGATAAACACTACAGCCTTCAAAAAGAAGACAGATTGCTTAACGTTCTGACTCATACAAAGCAACAAGAACAAGTCTTTTCTTCCAGTTCGTATTGAGCTTTACTAGTAAGTTGGAAGGTAGATCATGATTAAATGTCCAATGCTAATTTTGAAGTAAACACAACTCTAAGTGATATGGTACCAGTTTTCCTTTACTATGCTTAATAGTAGATAAGTCATACAATGACAACCAACTTATTCAGTTTGCATATACAATTTTTCGGGAAACAAACATATTCACACGGTTTAAAAGTTCCTAGGTTAATTAAAACGAAGATATATTTGTTTCAATATATATGCATATTTATACATGTAGTTGAAGTGAGCATTCACAAGTCACTTAGCCACAAGAGAAACTTCAGACAGCTTCCTATTATTAACAACAATCACACGCTGCCACGTCACATAAATGCGCTTAGCATCATCGGTACAAATGAGCTAACGAAATGAAAATGTTCAGTGGAATATAATACAATTGCAGCTTAAGTAGCTACGATAACTTCTCCAGAGGTAGTGAGACATTTTTCGTGTTAAATGTCGGGAAAAACAGTAAACAAATTGTAAAATTGCCATTTATTGGGGCTTTGTCAGTACTTCATGTCTCAATTTAATAACGTTTGACAGTCCTAGGAAAACCGCGAGATAATTATTTATTATGATGACAGAACTTAAATAAGAACATCTTCACTGATATCCAATGGTACACATTCCTAATGAAAGTATTTACAAAATACCACCCAGTGATTGCTGATGATATTTCTTAGCAAGATAATGAAAGCTTCATGACTAAACTAACCAGGTTAAAGAACAAAACACCTTCAAAAGTTACCTAGTTTTCTGAGTCATAAAACAGTAGCGTGAATAGATAATCAAAATACAAACTTCTATACTGAGAACTATATGCAGCACTCATACTTGGCAGATAATGGTAGTCATAACAAACTCCAAGTAGATGGAGCGATATCGAAGAGCCTATGACCCTCTGACTAAAATCCGATGGTCGAAATCAACAGAGTATCACCAATATAGCATAATAAAAAAATGATGCGGTGTTGTCCATGAATAACAACAATTATTACAATTTAAACATATTTATTTAAATCAGTTTGAATATGAGCAATGAATGATAAACAGTACACAACAATTGTGATATGACAATCGAGTTGGAATCACATAGTAAGTATGGATAAAGCTATGCAAAAGATAAATGGAATGAAATGAATAAATAAAAGTAATCAACAACAATTGGTAAAATGAAATAACACACACACGCACACACAATAAAACCACAGGTACTTTCTTTTTAAATCCCGAATGCTCGAACAAAATAAACTGAAATTTGTGTGTACACCACATTAAAAAAAAACAGTTAACGATTGAAATTAGTAGTACCTAGTAGTAGTATTATTATTGTCAGTAGAGAAAAGAAATGATCAAGCTAATTATTAGTTGTAGTAAATAATTATAAGAGAATAAATAATAATCAATGATTTAAAATTTCATCGAATGCCAATTGAACACAAGGATGTACATCCATTGTACGTGATTTTAACGATAACTGGAAGGATAAACGAGGAAAGAAGAATGAGTGGGAATAATTAATTGAAATAACAAATGAGTATTTTGTAGAATCACTGTGTTCATATACAATTCAATTACAATTATCAATGATAATTGGATGTGATGTCCCATGACATGTTAGAAACGTTATCAATGGACTTAGGCTTACCACTTTTGTAGACTAAGTAAATCACTGCTATATTATTATTGTTTGAACGCATAAACATTAATACAAGGGGGCACCAAATAATAACAATGAGGCCAGTAGCAGTTATTAATGATAATAGGTTCCCTCAGGATCCTGGAGCCCATGTGTACCATTAGTTATGAACCAGGGTTTTCCAATCGCCCTAGACGGATCCTCCATATCACTGTCACTATCGTAGTGACCAGTCAGTTGTACGGTACAATTGACTGGATAGATTAATACTTGAAAAGCAACTATAATTTGTCAAAATGATAGGTTAGTGTTTCGTTTTCAAAGAAGTGGATTGTAATCCTGCGAAATTTTTCAAGAGTGAAGCTTAAAGAATAGAATTTCACCAGTAGCACATGAGTTTTGTCAAGACTCTTTGCTCGAACAGTACCAGTCGAGTCAGAGCTTATGGAGGACTATCATCTGATTTTGAAACCTCAAGTGGTGACCGACAGGGTTGCCCACTATCTAATTTTTGTTCAATTCCATCATAGACCTATCGATGGAAGTAACGTTATCGTCGTGTAAATTTTCGGCAATTGATCTCCTACTAGTCTTACCGCTCTTTAACCGACCTGCCTGGCAAGGTATGACCTTGAGGAACGATTGTTTCAGCCAATATAGCTCGATCGGTTCATTACGATAGACAAGCCCGACCACCACGTCAAGGCAGCAGCAACAGTCAGGAGTAGGATTTCACCTACGTAATGAAGGGTGGAATGAAATAATGATTTAATGGAACTGTATGCAAAAGTGTTTTGTTTCTGGAACATTAATATTGCCCACAATCGATCTATCTGTATCGTGATAGTAACATTAGGCGAACGTGTAGTGAAATACCTTTGGTGTAGTGGGTTAAAACTGAATGTTACAATGAATTGACGGATACCGTTGTAGTAAAAATGCATCTAGTCTAAAATAAATTCTCAGTAAGATCGTTACGAGGAAATGATTTGCAAACAAACATCATTTGTAACCTGTTTATGAGTAATTTTTCCTCTTTCGGAGTTTGTCGCTAATGATCACAATCTGGCTGAAATTGAAAGCGAGTCCGTATATGCATCAAAAAATTTCTTTTTATTGAGATCATGAACCGATCGATCTTTGACCGCCATCGAAAACCCGGAAGCACTGAACGGCTGTTCTGTCCTATCTTTGGACTCCTCAGCAGTGCACATCCACGATCTCGCTCGGAGGATTCGAAGTCGTCACCAGTGGAGCTAACCCTTGTCAGGTAGACAGGTATCTACCTCAGCACAATGGAAGATAGTCGCGCGATTTCGTGGATTTGTTGAGGTTAGACATCAACACCGTTGGATGCCGGCTCACTGGTCTAGAGGTTGAGCGTTCGCGTGCAGGACCAAATGACCTGGATTCGAATCCCACGAGCGGGACAGTGGACGCGTACTGTTGAGGAGTCGCACAACGGGACGAAACGGATGTCCAGTGCTTCCAGCGGTGGTCTAACGTTGATCGACACATGATCTCAATCAAAAACATAATAATCTCCGCTACCCCATACTGATAATTTTTTAAAAATCAAAATCCGTAGACCGATCAATTGGATTTCTGAATACTAACACAATAGGAAACTACAAATGTATTTATGCCTGTTAATTGATACATGGGTTCAGTATCTTGATGAATAAACAACACTAAGGATGTAGGTACATTGCAAAATGGCGCATTTTATATTTCACTGATAGTCACAATTAAAATATGGTTAAAGGATACTTAATGTTTCCTTTTTTCATCACTAATTCATTATTCATTAATAAATTTAACTAAAATATTAACAAAACGGATAGACATAAATAATACCATACATTAATTATTTAATCAATCTTACAATAAAAGATGGATTGTCTGGTTGGATTTTCAATTCGGCTAATACCCAGATACCGTTTGTAAGCTTCATAGATTGGTAAAGCATATCTTGACCATCCAAATTACGTTTAGCAATAGTGAATACATTGTTTTGACGTAATTTACTGCTACAAGCATCTAGAATAGATATGCAAAATTAATATGTACATAAAAAAGCATTTAAAGAAATTTAAGTAGTATCTTTTAAATCTAAAAATATTCACATATAAATTTGTTGCAGAGTGAAGATCGGTTAACAGAAACCAAAGAATTAACACTAACCTCCTCCTAAACAAACTGATATGGATAGACAACAAAACTGCTGCTAAACAACCAAGGTTATCCATAGTTAGTAAAATAACACTGTTCGAATTCCACTCTGATCTTATTATTCCGATTTATGTAACAGGATAGTTACTAGCCCTCACATAATATGATGGCTTAAGACCGAGTATAAAACTTCGTATTTAGTAAATGAGTTATATTTGAAAAAAACACATCACATATTGATCTAGATAAACAAGCATAGAATTTCCCTATATACCATGACCTATCGGTATGGAGTTATATCTGAAAGCCATTAAAGATCCAGTAAGTAATTTACAGTACTTCAAATGACCAATTAATTGACTAACGTAACACCGACATTCGACATATCTTGATATCATTTATTTCGATGACAAAACAGTAAGTAGAACAGGTGTATACGTTATTACCTTTTACGTAATTGTTTACACTAACTATTTGTTTAAATGGATGTGTAGGTAATTTTTATGTCATAATACAATCAGACAGCATCATCGAAAGAAAAACATATATGGATTGAATCAATAGTGATAATTTGAACAATGTCCCGTTTAACACAATCATACTTATAAATAAGTATTCATTTAATGGTAGATTTCCAAAAAAATATAACACTGGAAATAATTTAAATAATGAATCCAGTATTTCGGATTCTATGTTAATTAAATGACAGATTCATCAAGATAAGAAATCTTATACTTTGTCTATTAGAGTTAAATCTAATCGTATACACTTAAACTGGTTCTTGATTGAGAGTGGTGTTATTTGTATTTACAGTTATATCTTTTGCAATGAAATGAAATGAATTATTCTATTAGGCATTAAGTTTATTATTTAATTATTTGAACACAAAAATATTGATACAAGAGGGCACCAAATATATATGCGCCACACAATTCACGCTTCGATTAGGCATTAAGAGTAACATACAGATGATATCTCAGAAAACAACGCAATTTTAAGGACTGGAAAGGATCAAAACACCATTTAACTTTTAAAATATTGACTTTACTGCACATGATCAATAAATATGGCGTGATAAGGAGACTACAAGAAAATTGTAATCGCTTGCCTATATGAAAGTATTTACTATTTATTATATAGGATGGTTACACTTGTCATTTCTGAACTCTTTGTTGCTTATGTAACTCAGTAACCAAGTAGAGGTTTGTGAGGTCTTCCCTGCTAAAACGGAAGGGGGTTAGGAAAAGTTTACTCTAAAAACACTACACTTCATTTTACACTATGGATTTTCGCCACTAGTGGTAAGGCTTTAAAGTATAGAGCTAAAACATCAAATATTGTTCACAAAAAAGCTGTGTGTGACCGGCCTCAGGCAGTTGTCCCATAGACACTCTGGTCACACGTTAGGGTCATCAAGAACCCTCTTAACCCAGTTTTCTTCTCAGGTCCGTCTTCTTCAAAAAGAAGTACCATTCCACGGTGTGAAGATCCTGGGAATGACAACTACCTCCATACTTCTAACAACACTTGAGTTATGAGTGTAATGTTTGTATGAGGGTTATTGATAGAATTTTGCAGAATATAGTTAAAAAGCATGAATTCACTTGGGTTGTTTAACATATACTTTTTTCAAGTTTGATCCCGTGTGAGGTATCATGAATGCGCGCTGTTGAGAATTTCCGTACTAAAATGAAACGGCCGTTCAGTGCTTCCAGCTTAGATCGACTTCAACTGTTTAAATGAATCTTTTAAATGTTTCTTAGTTTTCTTTTGACAGAATGTGGATGGATTTCGTACACACATTTAATATCAACATAAATGTTCGTTTAAATGCTTAATCACTTTCAGAGCAAGAAAGTACAACCGAGCTTTCAAAAGTGATATATACTTGTTAAGCATTTTGTTATACAAATAATTACCAGCAACATGTTAGAAAGTAAAATTAACACTAGGATTAAAAAAAGCACTTTTAAATAAATACTTATCCATTGCATAATGCAATTCTTGTGAAACGGGCAAAAATAATAAACATAATAGTAAATCGTATGATGAAAGCAAGTTAGTAGAAATAATTAACTTACCAGCAGTGAGATTTTTTGGACTCAAAGTAAACTGTTGTTCATTTTGACTAGGTATATCTTTCCAGGTAGCTAGGAAAACTCGTTTATCCATCTCTCCATCTTCGACAAACAAAATATGCATTGGTACCAAGGTAGCAAAGTAAAATACGTCAATATTGTTCTTGACAGCAATCTATTGAAAATAAAGAGTAGTAGACACGAGCAAGCATGAAACTTGCAATTAGCTAACACTTGTTTAAACAAAACAAAAACACTACTAGTGATCGCTAAAATATAATATATCATGAAAAGTGTAACATAGTAATTGGAGATTATGTAGCTAGTCATAAACAATGTAAGATGAGGTACAGGTATGCATCGAACCAACACAATGAGGGGAGAATTGAAGAAATCAAAACTAATGACAACACGAAATTAAATATTTGAGATGTATTAAAAAAATTGAACTAAATCGTGGCGTTTACGTGTTGCTACAGCATTAAAAAAGGTTATATATATACTAACAATTGTAGTCTTCATACTAAATGTTTTAGAGTATTCTGAACCTTATTCTGTTGTATTCCAAGCAAAAACCACATGGCATGAAAACTTTACTAGCTTTTAAATAATTCAAGAAATAAGACTTAGAATTTTTTTATAAAAAAATATTCTGTTCTAACTCATGTTAGTGTAGTTTCTACTTCAAAACCCAAATTCCTATGATACTTGTCAACGTTTTAGTTTTCACAAATGTTTCTTTACACGTAAATGAGCTCTATGCTGTTGCACATACACTCTCTTAGCATACAGATTTTGATGAATTCTGACCAAATATAGGCTAGAAAAAAGAAACGGTAACTGATTAATTAGTATAATCACTGTAGATAACAAGTAATGATTGGTTTTTAGTTAAAATTACATCTCACAAAAAAGAGATAATTCTCAGTATTATACTCTTTTTTTATCACAACGTGGTCATAACCTATTATGAAATAGCCATTTATCTAGTTTCTTTGGAGCCGTTTAATTATTATTAAATATAAAACACCATAGAACTAAACCATACTGATGGCTTTGAAACAAGCAGAAATGACCAGTCAGAATGGAGATTGTTGGACTGAAGCGCGATTTTAAGACGCAATTACGGACAACCTGGCACTGGAAACTATGTTTCTAACTAGATTTCAGATTTTAGTTAATCTGAATGATGACATGGATGGTAATAGTTTTCAATAACCTTGAACTATTGAGGAATAGCTGTTATATGAATGGCTGGCTAACTCCTGATTATTAAGTTCAAAGTCACTCATAGGATAGCTTTAAGGCGTTAGCACACTTTAGTTTCTATCAAATAAACAGACGTCCTGTTTCATTACTCACTCGTTTTTGTTTTGTTCCTCGATAGAAGTTAGTTACAGTCTGCGATTCTCCAATTTCAGAAATACTCTACCAACTGTGACAGTCATAATTGATCTCTAAGTTCCATTAATTGCTTTCTAAATTTCGTTTAAACCTAGTCGAATTTCTGGATTTGGTTAACCTGGGAAATTCTGAACCACTCCTACTTGGAAATTAGCTCGTACCTTCGACAATGCCTGTCTGTCTGCTAATTCGACGAGGTAATGGTAATGCTAATAGTTTGTTTGAGATGTTGTTTGATAAATTTGAAGTAGAAACTAAGAAAACTACTTCAAGCTCCTTGAGTGTGTGCCGAATAGTTTTATAGGGATCCAGTAGATTGCTCCACTTTTGTGAAGCAATTAGAAATGGTATCGGGATAGACTGACTTTTTAAATGAGGCAATTTACAAGATCTAGTGTTGAAAATTTTCGCCTACCTCATCTGTTCACATAGAAGCTAGACACATATTAAAATGATTTGGAAGACTATCAGTGGTGGCTCGTAGTGTTTGAAACTGTGGAGGGTGATGGTCAAAAGGTAGGAGATGATTCAAGAGACTTCACCATATTTCTAGGCAATCCAATTATATATAAGAATACACTAATATCGTTGAATATCGAATTTGAATTAAATTTTATGTCCATATTAGAGCTTGTGGTTAAACAATTACCCACTAGATTAAAACGAAAGTGGGTTAAATTTAGTGCAATTATGAATGAAGAACAGGAAAACAAGCTCTCAGACATAATACAGTTGAGTTAATCATTGAGCAGGTTTGTCAGTAGTACAATCAACTTCGCGGTTAAATAAACTTTCCGTTACTAAAGCACGATAATACGTTACAAGTAAGAACCATCTTACCAACGGGAAGAATATATGTTTGTTTTGAGGCCCAGAGAATGATCCAGATGAGTGTCATAAACACATCAATTTTACGGCTCAACAAAGAATGGACTTTGTAAAAAAAGGAGTCTGTGTTTTTGTTACTTGAAAGGTGGACGTATAAACAGAAGTTGTAGAAAACGAAGGAAAAATCCACCTAGTTATACAATCATAAAAATAAGTAGTTCGTCCAATGATCTACAAGACTCATTAATTTATTTGATTGCAAGTATTTCTACCTTATAAAATAATGAGATCGTTGTAATAAATTCATCTAAAAAATGTGAGGAAAACCACCTGTAGATTCATAAGTGGAACCATCTTCATTACAGGACCAGTAGTTGCTAACGGAAGGGATACATTAACAGATTGATGAGGCATCAAAGGAGTAGGGACATTTAGTGCTTGGGCTGGAACTAAGCCAAAGCTATTTTTATTAAATTGTATAGCGAATCCAGACATGGGAGTTAGTGCATTATTAGTCAATGTCAGCTCCATAAAAACTTGTGCGGTAGCTGTCTTACGAGAAAATGTACCACGAATTTCGAGACCTTTACCACGAGAAGCTTCCAGTAAAACAGTTGCAGGTGGCACAAAGAAGCCAGTATCACCAGAAAGATCAGACATTTTGATTCCTCCAAAAATATCTGCCAATACGTCGGCAGCCGACGAAGATGCTAGAAAATAAAAGACAAAATAAATAAGAACTAGTTAGTTTAGCCGTTAAACGGCAAGGTTAATTACAGATTAAGGCAAGTAAAACCAAATAAACAACTATTATTAGCGATATAAGAGAATTTATCTAAGACGACATCATGGTTTAATACGAACCGGAGGACGATGTATATGGCTTTCACACAAAATTGTACTAGCCCATTCTTTTTTGGAGTGATTCGCTAGTTGCTGAGGATTGTTGAACCCTTAAAACAACTTGTTACTTTCTCTTAATAAATTTGGATTAATATTTTCGTACAGTGAAGCCTTCAAAGAATGTTTCCATTTTTTTTTGCTTTTGGTTCGTTGCTCTTCTATTATGACATTTTTTGTTTCAATTTGAAAGGTATTGTTGACACATTTAATCGCAGTTGCTGCCTATGTAAATCAGTCTCCTTTGGTCTCTAACAAATCTTTTGAGTAGGATCTTTTTGTGTCCAGTTTATAGGGAAATGAAGTTAAAACTATCTCACTATATAGTCAAGCACCATTATCAGTTTGCGTTGAAAGTCATCCTCTAATAGCATAAATCCTCGCATCCCATCCCATTAAACTGATATTTTATGGTTAGTAAATAAGTTGAAGTTAGACATTAATACCGTTGGATGCCGGCTCAGTGACCTAGTGGTTAAGTGATCGCGTGCGAGACCAGGAGGTTCTGGGTCCGAATCCCGCGAGGCGGGATCGTGGATGTGCACTGCTGAGGAGTCCCACAATAGGACGAAACGGCCGTCCAAGTGCTTCCAGGTTTTTCATGGTGGTCTAGCTTCAATTGACTCATGATCTCATCAATTGGAATTACTAAAATCTCCACAAAACCCCCTTCTGATATTAAGTCTTAAATGATTGGAGAATGAGTGACCTACAAACTTAGTTCCTCCAATAGCCTATGACACTATCATGTTTATTTTATGTTGGTGTTTTCTATATAAGCATGTGGTTGCATTAAATAAGTAAACTTATTCTCCTGGTTAGTGGTTTTGTCTTTATTATCAAATTACGAAGTCATTAATTCGCTCTTGTGATCAGAAATCATTCGGTTAGATAGTGTCGTTGCGTATCATCTATAGATCGACATCCTTTTCTTTCATGTTAACAATCTAAAAATCCGTTCATGAGCTCATGACCCATAACACTGACAATAACAGGAAACCTAGAAAAGATAACTAAATAAAGTTGTCAGTGGTGGGTAAACTTGTTGTCTTATGATAATATTACGAGACAAACTAAAAATACATTTGGAAATATCCTGATAAAGTTTAATTGAAGTACATTAGGACATTCTAGTAAAGTTGCATACAGAAAATATTTTTTTGTCCAACAAACAATATACAATGGAATGACTATATTTAAATTGATCATTAGAATATATATATATATATATATATATATATATATATATTACCTCCTCCAGACTGAGTCTTCTGTTCTTCACTTGGATGAGTTTTAGTAACACCAGGTAAGAGATCGTCTAAGCCATCACCCAAAAGATCAGGGATCGCTGAACTATATCCAGTATTTGGTACGGGAGGGCGAGAGAACTGATGCATCGTCGAATCATATGTAGATGGCCCACTTCCAAGATCAATATCCAATAGGTCCCCAATTAATGTCTCCTGGTTTGAAGATAGAACATAAAATAATATTAGAATCCTCTAGGCGGCAATTACTGTAAATTGCTTAACATCTGTATATTCAAACTTTCTTACGTATCGATTGAAAGTTGTGAACGAGTGCAATAAATAAACAAGTGGAGAGCCTTTATATGCTAAATTATAAGATAAAAGCAATAAGTGTGCTCTCCGGGCAACATAACCAATTCATTGTGGAAACCTTAGTAAAATCCAGCACATTTCTGAAGACTCATCCCCATGAAACTACGTACAGAGACATGCAATCAGAAATTAGGACTTAAGAGAATGGTTCATATGACGATGATGAAAAGTGGGACTTGATATTCTCTTCCTAGAAGCTATGACTGTGAGGAAGTTATAATCTCAAGTTGAACTGAGGTATTAAGGCATTGAAATGGGAAGCCTCAACAGATTGATCTCAATTACTGAAAGCTACAATTTCTTAGCGAGAATAGAAATTTTCTATGATAAAAAACCCAGCATGACTATGATACCCTTCAGAATTTTATAATTTATAGGCACTTAATATCCAACTTGAAATTCAGAAACATTGAACTCTGTAAAATCACGTAATGCAAACAAAGAAAACTGATTTTATTTCTGACACCAAGAAATACTAAATATATACAGTTAAAACTGCCTGATACATATAAGTCACCTTTAACTTATTATGTAAAATGTAGAGATATACAACTTATGAGCATTCTGGGAAAAAACAAACCTGAGTTGGGATAACCGTAGGAGCTGGAACATCTACTTGTTGTGAATCACCATAATTTGCTCCAGGCGCCGAGGAGACCCCATTTACGCGTGCTGGAAGTTGACGCCGAGCTACATGCCTACCTTCGACAAAAGAACTTGGCGGCCGGTGATAAACACTAGCTAGGCTTGCTAAGTGACAAATGAGTTCATCCAATAACGTTGGTTCAAGCATATCTGTCTCCTCTGAAATAAGTGGTTTTTCTGCGAGTACAACTTCTTTAGCAGCTGCTGGGTCTGTAGACAATAAACGCCAATAGATATAACCCCTATCACGAAGATCTGGGTTGTCAGACTCTTGTGTAGCTAAACCAAGGACAGTTTGGACAAGTTCCTAAACAAAAGGACATTAAAACTAGTTAAAACACTTAGAAAAGCGAAAACCTATAATTGTGTAACGTAAAACATGTTCGGCAAATATTAGTCAAGTTGCTTTAGTAAATAGACTTTAGGTAGCTTGAATTTCAAGTAACATTGGTCGAAGAACTGTAGTTACATGACGTTAACCATAGATTTATATGAACGGAAAAGATAACCATGAATAATTTGGTACTATATGAACAAAACAACTGCAGTAAATAATCTAGGGTTCCATCGTAATAATAGGAATTTTAAATTAGTGCCAAAATGAAGGTGTTGGTTGGATCGTAACAATAATTAATATTCCTGGATTTACTAGTAAAACCGAATAAACTATACTCAAAGTTTAGGAAATGTACTTAGAATGTATACTTAAAAGAAAGGCCGGGAAGGATTCCATAGATCGGATGTTTATTCTAAATACTTTATGGGGTTCTGATTGTATATTTCAATTATAAAAATGATTTTAATATGATGAACTGATACTTCTATCGTGCAGACTTCTGAGGAAAATGTAAGGCACGTATTTAGGCTGCGTACATCTAAAAAGTTACATACTCATTGGGATCTTAATAATTACAAAACCCCAAATGTTACTAAATTATAACAAAATTTTTTAAACAAGCATAAGAATCACGTAAAAACAAAAAAAACATTTACCATGTACTACCTGTGTATCAGACGGCCTTTTAAGAAATAGCTTTACTATTGCGGTTAACAGCTGTAACTGCACCTGGGTGTTTTCATCCTGAAAACCGTCTAGAAAAGATTCAAGTAGTTCATCAGCGTTATCAATTCTTTCAGCATATTCTCCAATGATCCAAATCATTGACCCACGTGCTTCAGGCTCATCTAGTGTATCAAGATTCTCGCACAGGATAGAGATGATGCTCTCGTATTTATTCGGATACTTCCTAAATATGTCCTTCAAAATAAAAATTAGTAAGTGTAGAACTATAGTATGAAACACATATTTTAATTAAAATTTTATGTGGAACTATATTTACAAAAATATACATAAGCTTAAAATATTTCGAAAGTCTTAAACTTACAAGTCAGGGCAAGAAATGAAAATTTAAATTGACAAACAAACATTTTGAGTTCGGATTTAGAATGCCATAGAAACAGAAGTTGTAAATGGAATATTACCGATTTCAAAGAATACCGAACGCAACATGTGTTTGTTGACTTCAAATGCTGATAGTCATATTACTTGATAACTTGTTCAACCCGAAGACAAAGAAACATGTAAGATTTGGAAAAAAGGTGGAAATACCATATTTTGCACAAAAAAAGGTTGAATGTCAAGTCATTTATGTGATAACACTGGAGGTAAAAAATAGGAATAAAACACATCAATTGTAAACGATGAAATAAGAACGTTTCTTAGATGAGCTTTTTTCTAAATATCAGTCATTCATGAGCAAAGAAACTGATGCATACGTGAACCGGTTCAAGTTACTACAATTAAATTAGGACAGCAAGACGAAGTTATCAAGTGAAGTAAAAGTGGTAACAGGATCAGTAGTAGAAAAGATTAGAGAGGGATGAATGAATTTGTGGAATAAAAAATGTAGGTACTTTAAAATAAAAAGTGGATGCATTTGGACTTACCTACACAGCTTTGCTCAACAACAGCTAATGACTTCATGGGCTGATGCCATGTCTTGGTTTAGCTTTTACTGGCTTTCTTCCAACTTACTTCTACACCACGCGTCAAAGTGGGCCAGTGGTTGGTCGTAATCACGTTGAAAAGTGAAGATTAGGTTTTCAATGTAAGTGAAGTGGTCGACTTAATTACTTTACACTCTATTAACTTAGACATTAACGCAGACGAAACAAAACAATCTTCAAGTTGCCAAAGGGAGTTGTGTAAATTAAAATCAAGTATATAACAATCTCTTACATACTTGCAGTACAACCACTGGATGATTTATTTCGTATTTGTAACAAGGTATTTTCAATGTGGTACACAAAAGAATCAGACAAACATGTATTTATTTACTGGGGTTGAACTATATTCATTGAGTGAAAATTTTTTATGACATTTACAGTAAAAAAAAATAAGGTGTGAGAAACAAACACACACTAGTTTTGTCTACGCAAAAAGACATTGATTAAGTGTTGAAAAATGAAGATTTAATAGAAATCATTGATTTGTCAAGCACACAAACCAATAAAAATCCTGAAAAAACCTTGATTGACCAAAGCAGATTCGAACTAAGGTCCCAATGGTTGAATGTTCAGTAATAAGCGGGCTGATTATTTTCGGAGCCCCTAAATGTCCCTGTACGGCCGAGAGTGGAGAGTTAGTTCTCCCTATCACATGGTCACGCGTATACAACCACTGCCGGGGAAGTCCTACTCACTGTCTTCTCGTGACAGGGGTGTTGTTTACGAAATTCAGAAGACGAATTGCGAATGTCCGACGCTCTAACCGGGTCGGTGGACCCTTCTTGTCCACCTAGGGGAGTTGGAAAACCCTCATTCCAAACCATTGGCGCACATGGACTCCAGGATCATAAGGAAACAAATGGAGTATGAACCAATTGTTGGTCACCGGATACCATTGGACTGCATTTCCTGACGTTGCTCCACTGCCTTGTGGATCAGACAGTTAGGTCGAAGGCTCCGTGTGTGGCCCTTTAGGAAAACCGTCTGCTTCGGTTTGGGCACCCGGGCAGTATCATGGTCCACACACAAATCAAGTGACTTGTATGGCGCATATGTGTTTGGTACCCCTTCGTACCAATATCTGTGTTAAAATAAAATAAAAAATAATAAGATTATTTTCGGGAAGGTTGCTTCTTTCCCAAAAGTCTGGACCAAATAGAGTTTAGTGAACTACAACGTAGGACCGGGTACATATATGCATTGGTCCAAGTATACAACTACAACGTAGAACCGGGTACATATATGCATTGGTCCAAGTTGCCACCCATCATTAGCATAACATGATGAACATCAAATTCATCGAAGTAGTTGCTTCAATTGACCAAATACAGTTAAAGATGATTGGACACTAAAGTAGCATTTGAATTTAATAAACTATGCAAAGCCAGATTTTCTAAGCCTAACTAATGATTCACGTGCACTTGAAAATTTCAAAGAGAAATATGTTAAGCAACAGAGACTACAATCAAAAGACAAGCAGAAAACTTCATGTGTATGTGAGACAACATATTGAATTTTTGGGGTTTCATTTCAAGGAAATAGGACAATCTTAAATTCAATGTGAATAAGAGCGCTCATAAGAACCATTGGAGCGGGATTCCTTTTTTGATATAATCCGACAAAGACACCCAATACGATCGTATATCGTACAAAGCAAAGTACTTCGGGGATATATAAAATGTAAAGATAACAGATTCTGCTACGATAATTACATAAAATAAAATCATCACATGTTTTCAAGAAATCATAGGTTAAATTTACCTTGATCACTACAACTGCTTCCTGAACGACATAATTAACTTTTGTTTGGATAAGATCAATTAATGCAGACACACAACGCTCCGCGGCAGATTCAATCTTGATAGCACATCTCCCTATTGCACGAACAGCTTTTCGGACAAAATCCACGTCAACTTCTTTTGCGTATTCCTTCAGTTCAGCAAGCACCTGACCAATGTTAGACTGATTGATGAGACGTATCATTATATCTAGCTTCTCAAGTTTCACATAGATCGGGTCATTATACTTGACAAAAAATACCTGAAATATAAACGACTTGTTTTAAGCCTTAATAGAGAATGAAGAGATATCACCAAATGATGTCATGCCACAAATAACAGCTACATCAAAGCCTACAAAATGAAATCAATGACTACATAAATTCATCAACGAACATATCCATGTCTATAATGAAGGTTAACAAAACTTGATTGTCGAAAACTTGGTAGAGGAAGTGTGGTTTGAACATACGATATAATTATTGAAAGTAAAGTCTGGCAACAAACCTAAGGTTGTACTGCTGACTGTACAGAGGTGTGACAGCAGTAAGGTGTTTCCTTCAGACAACCAGCGTGACAGCGATGCTGCCTTCCCACAAGGAGAGATGGGGTTAGAAAAGGTCGACCCTAAAAATACACACATCGCCTTATCCCACGTATATCCGTCTCCGGCGGTAAGGTTTCAACAAGTACGGAGCTAACACAAAAATTACCCATAAAAAGGTCGTGTGTGACCGACCTCAAGCATTTGTCCCTTGGGCACTGCGGTCACGCTCTCAGGTCACTAAGACCACCTCTAATCCGATTTTTTTTTCAGGTACCTCCAGAAGAACCCTTCCACGGTGTGGGCAACCGGGAAGTGATAACCGCCGTCGTACCTCTAACAGCACTCAAGACTGACTAAACTAAGGATTATATCCATGATAACAATACTACTTTTTAAAAACAAGCGACAAGTTTACTTCTTGGAAAAGACAGTTACTAATATAGAAATAACCTTATCTATGAAAGTGAAGAAACCACTTTTATTTTATACACATCTAAATTCCGGTACAAACTAAACACCAACAAGTATGAGCCACGCAGATAAAGAAATATCATTAAGAAAGCTCAACCGAAAAAAATGAACAAGAACAGTATATGATAGGAGATACCGTTCAGATAAAAATACAACCGAAAAGCACCAGTTAGGTAAGTTACTTACACTTTTATGAAAATGTAGAAGAAAACTATAGCAAAATTACCGCTCATTTCGATTCTGAGCCACGTCTGACAAGATCTCAAGCCATTGAGTTGCACCATCTCTAGGGTCCGGATCGAGGATGTGGGGTCATAGCTGGACGCCATGCCATAAACTAATGACCTCTAAGCTTTTTTTATTCTGTCCCAGTGTCAGTAAATAACGTACGATGTGGAGACCGCTGGGATGAGGTTCGCAAAATATGCCATCCACTGAGGCTGATGTATCAAGATGATGACACTAACTGAATTATCATCAATGTGCTCCAACATGTGTTACCGAATCTTACCGCTACAACACAGAGTTGCCTAATGTTATATTCTAGTGAAGATCACATTACGAGTAACTTCTGAGACCTATTAATGGACCAGTATTATCCATATATTCTTATGGTATAACTATTTAGTAATCAGATTATGTATATCTATATTCCCTTTATTATAAGCTTCGTTTTGACCTAGAAATTGTTACTGTACGATTTACTGTTCTTATGTTATACTCAGTTTATTAATTACTATCTCGCACGTTCACAACCACCTTTGGCTATATGTTGTACGAGTGTTATTTTCTGTTTTATGGTGCGTTGCGGTCTGTTTGGTTGATACATAAACCCAGTGTGTCTGAAATAAATTATTCGCATAATGGAGGCTGATGTTGGCATTCTGGACTCAGCTGAACGGGTTAAGCGAGCAGTGGACCAGTAGGACGCTAGGTTGATCAAACCGAACGGACGTCATTGGTTTAGTACAGCACAAGGGCAAACAAGTCGCATTTTGATTGGCGAGTAAATTATGTGATAACTAGCGGGCCATAAAGACACAACACCTAACATCCCCAACTCGGAGAGCCCAGGTGTCATAACAATTGAACAAAACCGCTCTTACCAAAGCATTGTAGGTTCGCCCTTTTACAACTAGACGAACATCGCGACGATGCCTAGATTAGTATAAGTTCTAAGAATCACCTGGTAAGGCAGAGCGTGGGAAGAACATATTCTTGTATTTTAAATGCTTCCACACGGTTATGCGTTTATAGAATCTAACAGGAAAGTTCTAGTCATTACCTCTAGGCAGCGAGGGGTGCTATTTATGGAAATGAAAGGATGGAAGACGGACGTTGGTAAATACGGAGAGTGTGAACACACTTATTTCGAACCAGTACTGCAAATAGGCTCCAGGACACTCCGGGAACGAATGGTTGATATTATGGAATTAAAAAACAAAATTACGTTCTTTTATTCATTGTGATTTTTGTTCAACATTACTTCCGTTTTAGTTCAATGTGACGATTACTCAGTGTAATATTTGCTTTGTTTTCCAATGTGATATTTTATTCCGTACAATATTGATCCAATCGAATGAAATGTTTATTGAAGATACATTTTTGTATTGAAGCAACATGAAGAACGCTCAGCATGACACGCAGTATGTGATTTGCTATAACTTTGGGTATTTTTTACATATAAGATTTCATCCTAATTAGTAATCAAAATGGGTGTACTTTTGACTAGGGTCGTCGTGTTTTGGGTTTAATAAATCTTCATTTGTACCAGTCTTGTTGTTGTTACTTCGCGTTATGGAAATTGTAGTGGTTGATCGTTTTACAAGTATAAGTAATGAGCGATTCCGACGTAATCATAGCAATTGACGACCCATCATAACAATGGTCTATGAAGCTATTTCGGCTACCGACTACTATAGAATGGCATCTCGGTGGGTACTTCCTTGAGCAAATCACCTGCTTGTGGTTCGGGTGCGTATTTTTATTTATTTTAACACAGATATTGGTACGAAGGGGTACCAAACGCATATGCGCCATACAAGTCACTTGATTTGTGTGTGGACCATGATACTGCCCGAGTGCCCAAACCGAAGCAGACGGTTTTCCTAAAGGGCCACACACGGAGCCTTCGACCTAACTGTCTGATCCACAAGGCAGTGGAGCAACGTCAGGAAATGCAGTCCAATGGTATCCGGTGACCAACAATTGGTTCATACTCCATTTGTTTCCTTATGATCCTGGAGTCCATGTGCGCCAATGGTTTGGAATGAGGGTTTTCCAACTCCCCTAGGTGGACAAGAAGGGTCCACCGACCCGGTTAGAGCGTCGGACATTCGCAATTCGTCTTCTGAATTTCGTAAACAACACCCCTGTCACGAGAAGACAGTGAGTAGGACTTCCCCGGCAGTGGTTGTATACGCGTGACCATGTGATAGGGAGAACTAACTCTCCACTCTCGGCCTTACCGGGGCATTTGGGGGCGGTGCCGGAGAAGTAAACCATACCATACATAAATATTATGGTCGAAAATTATGAATAAATTGATATACGTGCTTTTTTTCATACTAACTTAAGCGATAACTGTTCATTATTAAATAAAAGTTTGTCATACTTTGCTCCACTTCCTATTCCGCTTTGTTTCCATCCTATGTTTACCTTTATTTTCCAACTGCCCCAGTAGCTCATCTGTCTTGAGAGTCCAGTTATGTTTGGACTCAGATTATGGTTTAGTTTGCGTCAAGCCTACCTTGCGTAGGGTAGGACAGTCTGATCAGTGTTGATAGGCAGAAACAAAGCCAGCTAAACTGTTCCTTGGTGAATGACACTAGTTGGAGCTCCATCAGCCTCACAGATCGTTCCACTCACACCAGACCCCTTGCTACCAGTGGTTCGGATATGTTGAAATAGCTTCCAACAGTCGCCAGGTGTAGGTGCTACTTCCAACTCATTAGAACACCCTGACCATCAGGCTTTTAGGTCTTTGTGCAACGTTTATAAAATTTACTATACACTCTCGCAGACTGACTACCAACTTTGAGCCCAGCTCGGTTCGATATATGGTGGCGACGGAAGTTACAACCGATTTGCATATATTATTCCGTTTAGGACAAGACATTTATTGGCCACCAAATCACAGAATAAGATTAGTACAGACTAAACCATGGTCCGAGTTCAGATAGGTACTTAAAAGAGGGTTTTATACACATTGATCCACAAGGTATGAACTGTTTCTAACACCAAATAAACATACCAATAAAATGGCTCTAAATATTACAACAGCTGCTTACTTTTATCTCCTGCTTTAAAATATCCCTACGCTTTTGAACAATTAAGTTAATATTACGCAGAGCTACATACTGAATTTCCGGTTCCGCAGAAAGTAATGTTACTAGTGGGGGTGCCAACTTTCTAATTACAGTCGATGCAGTTTCGGAAGTAGGATCAACCATTTCCAACATTTTCATAATGACTTTAACAGTTGATAGAACGACAGCAGCGTTTGCGTGTGCTAGTCTTGGAGACACGCGTTCGATGATACTTTGTGCCTCACGATCATCACCAGGTGTGTAATCTGCAATTGCATCAAGTATAAAAACTTGTCCCCACCTAGAGTATAAAAGGTAATGAAAACAAGTGTGATAAAATCATGCTGAACTATTGCATCTCATGTAATGGAAGTCTAAGTAAAATAATGATGTATTAAGCGAGTATCTTAGTTTTATTCACTAAATTTAAAGCTGTATATATCTAGGGACCTATAATATTTGTCCCACTAATTCCTATCGTCCTTAAAATATTTATTGACTTAACGGATCACTTCAAGTTTACGTAATACTGCAAACTAAACCTATCATATGACACGAAGTCTTACCGATTATATCGGTTCAACACGCCACACTCAGCACTAGTAGTATCTAGAGGAAACAAATCAGAGAAGATACAAGGAAGTAAAAACAACGGTAATAAGAATGGAGGAAATTAAAGACAATAAAAAGGGAGAAAAAGTCAATGGATGTAAAATACAGGATAATAACAACCAGTTTTCAAAATCTCCGTAAGTATAATTATATTTTAACACATGAGCTAGGACGAAGGTCATAAAGTGTTTTCTTCAGATATTTGATTTGCTCGTTTTGTCTCACTTTCAGTTTCGCACCGAAATTAAGGAAGTGGTAATAAAGGGGAAGGTTTAAAAGAATTAGTATTATGCAACTTTTGTTCGTGTATAGTCAGTGCAAACATCAATTAATTAGTGAGCAAATATGAAATCAACAGCATTACTTACTACCAGTTACCAGGTGAGTGAAATCGATTCATTTAGACCAATGTTTTTAACTACTTCAAAGTCGTCAACACTGCATAAACGTGACCACAAATGTAATCATAAGTATTTCATGGTAACAGAAACTATAACATGAAAAGCAGACTGTCTTTTACTAAAACAATAATCGACCTCTGAAATGAGTTCAGTCAATAATATCATTCGCTTATCTTGGAAGTTAATGTGAATTAATCTAACAAAATATATGATAATACAAACACAGAACTACCAAATTAAACTGCTCACTCAGTGCATTCATTAAGAGCTGTCAGGAGTTTGTTAATTACTGGGCCATCGAAGGCAAGTAAGGACCTTGCAGAATCAGAATTTGTCATCTCCAATATTTCAGTTATTGATGCGACAGCATTAGCGACTACCATGGGATTACTGTCACATAACAAATCCCTCAAAAGTTCTAGAAATCCACTATCTTCCACTAACTGAGCATCTATATCATGCAGCTTTGCTACACAAACAGCAGCTGTCTTGCGGACATATGGATCTTCGTCTTTAAGACATTTACGGAGTGGGTCACAGAGATAAGCAGTTATTTTCTCCACACGTATGCAGCCCATTGTTCGCACAGCAAGCGCCCTGATAAGTGGATTGGGATCATCGCAATCCTAAAAAAATAAATTCAGTTAGTGGAAACTTACTTTTACAAAGGTATTCACAGCCATTATTGCAGTATCAGGCTGTGTCTTAGCATAATTCATAAGGTACAGGTATACTAACTTCTTAAGTTCCAAATTATCAGTTTGCATACAGTTGATTACATCTGGAAACAAAGCACTTTAAGTTGTATGATGCATATCCCAGGATGGAGTACCTAACATCTTTACCTACAGTCATACTGGCTATGACCTTTTTAACAGCCTCCTTCTTTTTTTCTCTTCGCTCACTATTCAATTCGGCTTTCAGCTCAAAAATTTCACCTAATTTATGTTTGTATACGCAGTAAAATTACCTTTTTTCGTTGTTGTGAAGTATCGAGCATCCGTAGGCTTTGATTGAGCTGTTACTTTCTGAAGCCATGGTCTAAATTTATGTACATGGAAAGTTGAAAAGTTACTTGATATTTCCTAGGGTATCAGTAACAGATGCAGCAACACCTTGCATATCTGAACTCTACAGATAAACGAAACTAATTTGAAACTACGACAGACTACTCAGTGTCTAATTCTTGTACTAATTTCATAGATTTTTATGCAACTAGCAAATGCTACCAAAATGTATCTTAAGCTCTCAACTTTGTAAGCAAAAACGGTAAAAATGTCAAAAATGCATATTTACGGTTTTAGTTCACTAAATTTTGTTTGAATACGCTCCAGAATATCACGAGAACTCTGGAATCACAACTTACAGTGACATAAGAACAATCTCTTTGTCAATCGAACGATACTTTGTAAGCATCCAATGTGTAGAGACACGGAGTTCCTATCACAGACTTAATTTTAATTACTTCTACTGTGCGGTAGTTGTACAATATTGCTTTTTTCAGCTGTAGTCTGTCCCATGTCATCCTCCATATATTCACGTCACCTGCAAATGATAAGGGTCGAGGGATAATTCAAATTATTTATGAGTGATAGAAATAGCATTTTCAAAAACTATATTCTGACAACTTCTGATTAGTACTTAGATCGAGTCACAACGACTAATCTTTGCCACTTATGGGTTGGCGATGTGGTACGAATTTCGTCAGTGGTCATAATGTTTCACAGCACAATCGGATTCTTAATAATACTGCCTTTCAAAAACTATAGATGGTAATGCAGATTATCAGTCTAGTACAGACATTTGGTTCTAAGATACAAATTATAAAGTCACGTTTTCTGGCGACTTCTTTCATGTTGATGAAACTCTGACGTACTAAATGTTTTGTCATGTACTTGAAAATGAACTAATATCATGTCCAAGTGTTGTTCTACATATGGATCTCTTCAATGGAAAAGAGAATGTCTGGACAATTTAAACGGTTCCATGGTGAAAGACGAATACGGAAATTTTTGAACCTCGCTTTCACATATATAAGTTCCATCACTAGACCTCAGGTGCCTTACGGGCTTTTCCATAGACCATATGCTCTGTAGATGAATCTAAGGTGATTTCATGGTTAATGAGGTATTTTTCACTCAGTTCATGTGGTATTTGTACGATGCTTATTTACATGATTGTCCGCCCATTACGAATTACAAACATAATACGTTGATTTGTGCTAACCTAGTTCTACTGTAGGGCCAGTGAAATGTCATTGAGCCCTAGCTAAATCATCCGGCAGTTGGGTCACTGAATATCAAACAAATCATCGATCCTCGCCATGGTCAAAGGCAAGCAATGCGCCTCAGTTAATCATACTCCATGGACTGGCTTATGCGGCGGTGGTCTTACTTTCGCTTGTATCTACTTTAACTTATATGTTTCTGCGATAACGTCCTTTGTGTTGTACAGTCTTCAAAGCTTCTATAGTACCTTGATATGCTGGTGTGGTAATCCACGTAAGATGTTGACCGAGAGGTGTGTCTTTGAGGTTAGCTGATTAATCACACCATTCCCGTGTAACTCTAGTAGGCCTCCAATTATTCAACATAGATCATCTACGCTGGTGTCGCGATGGAGCCTGCGGTTGGACGGTTGGATATACATTTGAATTCTGAGGCTCTCGGAGATCACATGGATAGGTTTGAAATCTGAATTATGATCAGGAGAGATGACAAGGATGGTAAAGTTGTGGCTCACTTCCTTATACTCATCGGAAAGGATGCCTACAACTTACTCAAATACTTGGCATTCCCAGATAAGCCTATTTCATTTTCCTATGAAACTCCGAAAGAGCTTCTACTGAATCATGTAAAGCATATTAATTTCTAATGCCATGGAAAAGCGAAACTTCATAAAACGTTTCGTCAGGAGAGCCAAAAGGTTAGAAAATGCATCCTTGAGTTGTAGAAACAAGACACCAAGTGTAATCACGTTGACCGACTTCACGTGCAGCCACGTGATCAATTAATTTCAAGAATCAACATACTAAATCCGGCAAGGGAGTTTATACAACTACCGAAGTGATTCTTCCAAGATGCTGAAACTGAGTTTAACACTTACGTAACAGTTCATGAAATCTAGTTCCATGGCATCAATAATTCCACTAATTCACATAGTTATTCTAGTCTGATTCGTACTCATAGTCATCCATGTGGGTGTTTAAGTGATGATAATTCTCGTTTTTGTGAAAACATGGATGTCAATTAATTGAGCAGTTGCAAAGCAGGTTACAAAGGTGGGCAAATGTTTGATAAATACTTATGGTTCAAATGGTTCAGGACGGAATAGAAGACGCTTTCGCTTAACAGGCTCCCGTATCTAATGGCAGTGAAACACCGATACCTCCAGGTGGAGACCTAGGTATATTATGGAAAAAGAAAAAATGTCGGTAAATGATAGTATCATACTGTACTTAGTCCTTAAGAATATGTTACGTTTTCTCTTAAAGGACTCCCAGTAAGTTGCTTAAACTAGCTCAGCCGGCAGCGAATTCAAGCATTTGACTACTGGTAAGGAGTAAAAGGTTCATTCTGCTGTGTTATATCTCCAGTTTCTGGGTGTAGCTCCAGGGGTTCAGTTGGGACTAAGCCTAAATAGGTGTTTGAGGAGACGCCCAGAAATGTTCAGGGTGCTGTAAGCCATTAAAAGGTCACCTCTAAGGCGCCTGTAATCTAATGAGTAAAGGTTCAGTGATTAGAGGCGCCTTTCGAATTGATTTCGTGGCTCAGAGCTGGACACGTGTTTGCTCATCATTTTGAGGTAAGAGGGGGGGGATACCATGTTTCCGTACTCTAAATTGGGACGAATAAAACTGTGGAAGATTGTGTGCAAAGTCCTCCCGTCGAAATGGTCGAAGATACGCTTCAACATTTCCATTGCGAGATTCGCTCGGGAGGCATTTTGTCACAGTTAACGTAAGACTTGAAATCATAGGGTACCAACACTTACAGATGCTTTTGAACTTCGGATATCTCTGAGGAGGAGTTACCCAGGTTGTAATCTGTAACATGTTTCAGATGGACTACTTTACACTTTGGAGTGTTAAAGGTAAGTCCGTTGCGATCTGCTCAACTTTGAACTCGAATCAGATCCTCCTGAAGTGCCCTTTTTAACCTCTCGGTTACTTACTTCTCTTCAAAGTTTCAGATCATCAGCTAAGAGTAATAAATATGACGACACCTGCTATGGAAGGTCGTTTATACAGATCAAGAAAAGAAGAGGTTTTAGTACTGAACCCTGAAGACCCTACCAGGATATTCCATAGTTAACCCTGACCTTAGAATGTCGACTTTTTAGATATGAAGTGAGACAATCAACTAGAAATGATTTGATATTTAATCATTTAGCTTATTGGCAAGAAATATATGGTTGATCCCATCGAATGCTTTTAGGAAGTCAAGGTAAATGACGTCGACCACCCCCTTGCGATCAAGGATGGCTGTACATCTGCCCACTGAAGTCAGCATGTTGGTTATACAAGAGGAACCTTTTCTGAAACCGCGCTGATGGGGTAGAAAGAAGTTTATGGATAATGAGTAATCGTGCATATCAGGGACCCCGTAATTTTTGAGGGTATAGAGATAAGTGCAACCTGTCAGTAGCTTGAAGGTTCGCTGCATCAACCTCCTTTGATAATTGGTATGATGTGATCCAGCTTCCAAATTTCCGGTAATATGCTTCGGCCTAGCGAATGTGAGAACACCACGCTGGTTAGTGTTGCCATGATTGAAGATTCTTCCATCAGTATAACAGAATGGAACATATTCAGGCCAGAGGAAGAGTCTTTTTCAGTACCGCAGTCTCTGGTACACTAAGTCAGCGCTCAGGTTCATTTCAGAAATTCTTGTGCAGTTGCATATGAAGCTTTTATCAATATAGTTAATGTGGGTCGGTTGAAATGTCCAAGAGTACTGTTCGACCAAAAGGTTATCGGCGTCACTGTCGTTGTTGGTTGAGCCATTAAAACCTTACATTTGGGAAACTCTGATTTTGTCTTGTCGAAGAGAAGGTGCATGACAGAACAAGCTTTTCGGATTTGAAAGAAATTATCGATGAGCTTTGTCTGGTAGAGAAGCCTGTCCTTTCTGATTGCCTTTGTGCTTATGTTCCTTACTTGCTTGAATCGCTTGTATGCGTTGTTATTACCAGTTCGTTTGTATTCTGCCTAGAAGTGCCTTTTGCGGATTAGCAAGAAAAGGGTGTGATTTTTGATGACTGCAGGTTGCCTGTAGATTTTGCGAACCACTTGCGGAACAAACTGCTTTGTAGCACATAAGATCGTGTGCAGTGAGAAATCCACATCAAGTTGAGGGTGAACTTTCTAGTCCACCTGTTGTAGATAGTTCTGTAGAGCTGATACATTTAACTGTTTAAAACTCAAGTGCCTGTTGTTGGTGGGATTTATTAACTCAGTTTTACTGAATAAACTGAAGACTATGACGTCGTGTTCGCTTCTCCACAGGGAAGCCAGGATTGAGAGGTTGTCAATTAGGAAATCTTTATTTGTAAATACTCAGTCTAAGAGAGACGGTGTCTGACTGTTTCTCCAACAAGTTGCCGACTTCACATTTTCGAATAATCCCAGATCTCCAATGAGGTTGAAGAAGCGAGCTTCAGTAGAGTTTTCAACTCCAATGTACATGTGTTCCGCGAAATTGATTTCAGGAAGATTGAAGTCCCTTAGGATCAGGATATGAGTGAATCCGAGACAAGCAGAGCGGGATAATCCTTTCCATTTCAGGACCACCATTTTCAGGTTTGCTGACAAATTTTTCAGCAGACCTTTCGAGAAAATGATCATGTTGCTCAGCAATTCCTCAGTATTCATGTTGCACGTGCCACATACTCACCTATCGTCCAACTTACCAAGTCTGCTGTAGGCAGTTACTGTAACATATGTGCATGCTTTGTGGAACCAACCTTTGGATTTGCTATACCGCATGCCAGAGATGGCAGCAAAACGGCATCCTGGCCGCTTACGTGATCTCTTCATGACTATGATGATGTTAGTTGTTTAACTGATCCTAGTAAAAGTCTATAACCGTAAAACAAAAAAGCAATACGCTAAAATCGAATAAAATGAATAGAAACAGGTGGTACAAAAGCTTAGGATAAAATGAAACTAG